GGGAGAGGGAGAGGGAGAGGGAGAGGGAGAGGGAGAGGGAGAGGGAGAGGGAGAGGGAGAGAAGAGCTAAGGGATTTTTATAGTACATTCATTGACTATGTTCTTGCCCATAATAAATTTACAATGTGGAACCAGAAATGAGAATCCTAAGATGTCTTTATTTCAAAGTTACGTTTAACAAAACTGTCTGCCTCAGAACTCCTCTCTCATGGAGAGATGTGAGATTGTATCCAGACTCAAGCCAATTATTTTGTTTGTTTGAAGTACTTTTAACTCAGCAGTCACCTATAGAATTTGGGAAATGACATCAGTAGCCTAATTTGTTAGACTCTAGAGTCTCCTACCAGAAAACTCTGAGAGCAAAGGACTCAGTGCCAATGGGGTATAGTTGCAGAGCCATTAAAAACATGCTATATGGAGTTTGGCTTTTGGCTAAGCAAGTTTTCCTTAACCAGAATATGCTTGCTCTCTTGGGTAAAACAATTAACCAATTAACTTGGAATGCAAAAAGAACTCTTCATTTGTGAAGTTGTAGATTGGACTACCAAGTGGAAACCTTTTCTTATCTTCAAAGGCCAGTTTTGCACACTTATAAATGGACCAGAATTGGTAAGTCTATGAATTCTGCCTTTCATGTTCTTTTTACCCCCAGTTTTGCTCCTTCTATCTCACTAACTGGAGGGCAAAACTAGGTGCCCTCAGCCTTCTTAGTTGACCCTAACATCACCTCTCATCAATGACCATAGGCCCTTATACTCAATACTTTATTTTCTCTGACCCTTAATGAAAACAGAAGGAATTTTTCTCTCATCTTTATTCATTGTCAAACTATGCAATCTTGGGAAGCAGCCTAGCCATTTGATAGGCTCAACCCATTCCCAACTCCAAGGGAAGAGAAGTAGCATAGGACACTGTGTAGCCACAACGATAAACAGATGAGGAGTTTTGTTATCAATAACCAGTTGGTGTAATTAACTACAAAGTGTTTCCAACCTTCCAGATCTTTCAGTTTCTTAGATTACACACATATTTTATGGTTCATTCGGATTTGGATAGATTTCTCATTCTTTGCAAGCAAATAACATTCATTACATGATACACCTTCTGTTTAAGTGTTTTTTAATTATGTATTACATTACGCTGAATTGAGGAAGCTGTCACTTGCAGGAAACATTGTTATCTTTTTCTATGTACTACTAAGAAAAAGAATGCTCTGTAGGTCAAGATACAACATGTTTGCTTATCATTTAGAATTTTACTGAATTAGTATGTTTAATTTATTAAGATAGTTGTCAGAAGCAGATCTCTACAACAGGCACAAACAACCTTTTGATACTGACATGGCATTGTCACCTACCAAGCTGACGCTGGAGAACAATGAAACATATAGCCCTGGGACCACATGCTGGGTACACCTACTAAACTTGTTCAAAAAGAAGAGAGAAATGATTATTTCCTAAAATTCTGTCATATTTAGATAGCAGTACTTCTGAATCACTCCTTTAGTCTGTCATAACTAAGTTTTCC